CCCATTACACACCCCTGACACGCGGGCAACTTCGAACACTGCACGTTAATCGTTTAACGGGTACTTTTTTAAGGAAACGTCACCCGCTCGTTCTCTCCCCTCCGCCAGCCGGTCTGAAACCGCCGCGCGGGACGCGGGCGCGCGGAATGAGCTACGCGGGGGAGGGCGAGGGGGAAGGGGACGGCGCGGGGTCCGGCGCGGCGGGGCGGACGGCGTTCCGCGTGGCGGAGAAGCGGTTCAAGCTGGTGAAGGAGGACACGGGGCAGCGCCGCCGACGGCGCGGGCAGCAGCGCGGGTAGGAGCGCGGGGATCCAAGCGCTGCTGCGCGGTGCTCCCGTTCCCGCTCATCCCCGCCTTCCCTTGCGCGCATGCACCGTCTGACCTCCCCAACCCATCCCACCCTCCCCACCGTACCCAACCCTACCACCCCGTTCTCCAACCCGCCGCCCGTGTCCTCCGCACGGCAGGCAGGGCTCGGACGCGGCGGCGGGCGAGGGCGGCAGCGCAGAGGGCGCGCTGGCGGGCGCGGTGGACTTCCGCGCGCTGGAGCAGCGCTTCCTGGCCACGGGGCACCTAGCTGACACCGCTGCCCCTGCTGCTACAGCCGCGGCGGGTGCTTCTGGTGGTGCTGGTTCTGCTACAGCCGGTGGTGATGGGGCGGCATGTGTGGCGGCGGTGGCTGTGAGCAGCATCGTGCGAGAGGAGGGCGCGGCGGGGCTACCGTGCCCCGTGTACACTGTGCAGGGCAGGCCCGGTCAGTTCTTTGCTCTGCTCTCTGTCTTGCTCTCCCGTGCCTGCAGCACTCGTGAACACAAGGGCTACCGTGCCCCGTGTACACTGTGCAGTGCACGGTAGGCCTGGTGAGTGCCATGTGTACACCGTGCACGGCAGGCCTGGTGAGTGCCATGTGTACACCGTGCACGGCAGGCCCGGTCAGTTCTTTGCTCTGCTGTGACCTCTCTGTCTTGCTCTCCCGTGCCTGCAGCACTCGTGACATGCAAGGGCTTTGAGTTGCGGCTTTGTCATGGGGTGCCCTTGGCGGAAGGAATGGCAACCTGACTGACAAAGTGGTCTCGAAATAGCTGCCTGTTTGCTTGTCTGTCTGTCTCTGTGGCTCTCCGCCATTCCGCCCGTCCGCCCCCGCATCTGTCCGTCCGTCCGCCTGGCATCCATCCATCCGTCTGTCCGTTTCTCTTTTCACCTGCTTGCCTGCTCCCTATACCTATCGCCTGCTCCCTATACCTATCGCCTGCTCCCTATACCTATCGCCTGCTCCCTATACCTATCGCCTGCTCCCTATACCTATCGCCTGCTCCCTATACCTATCGCCTGCTCCCTATACCTATCGCCTGCTCCCTATACCTATCGCCTGCTCCCTATACCTATCGCCTGCTCCCTATACCTATCGCCTGCTCCCTATACCTATTGCCTGCTCCCTGTACCTATCGCCTGCTCCCTATACCTATCGCCTGCTCTCTTCCTCCCAAATCCCCGTTGCCTCCCCCATGCAAGCTTACAGCCTCCTTCCCTCCTCTTCCTCTGCTCTTCGCCCTTGTCCTCTCCTTAATTCTCTTCACCAATCTTCTCCCCGCCATCCCCTCCACTTCCCGTCCATGCCCCCTCCATACCCACACCACACCACACCGCACCACACCGCACGGCACACCAGGGTTCTTCTTCCTACCTGGAGCACTGACGGTGCAGCAGCAGGCGCAGCTGATTCAGGAGGCAGTGCAGGGGAGCGTAGAGCCGCCCAACCGCACCAACCACACCGCTGCCTTGGGTGCCATCCACGGCCTCTGGCCTGCCTTCGCCCTCTCCTGTGCTGCTGCCTCTGATCAAGGCAGCACGGAGCATGGTGGTGGTGATGATGGCGGTGGTGGTGGTGGTGGCAGCAGCAGCAGGAGGCGTGTCAGTGCTGTGTTGCGGCCGTGTGTGGGAGGAGGAGAGGCAGAGGGGGTTCAGTGTGCGGGCAAGAGGGGCATGGGTGGGGAGGCGAGGGAATGGGGTGGGGAGAATGGGTGGCGGGGTATTGCAGGTGGCACATGCTGCTTTGAGCTTCAGGAGCAAGGGGAGGAGGAGGAGAGGGGGAAAGGCAGAGGGGAGAAGGGGAGAGGGAAAGGAGGGAGCGGAGAGGCCAGGGATAGAGCGAGCGAGGTAATGGAGGGGGAGAGGGGTGAGGGCGCAGGTGCAGTGATCAAGAGTGGGGAGGAGGGTGAGAGGAATGAAGGCGAGGGGAGGTGTGTGGGGGGGGAGGCGGTGGGTGGGGGGCGTGAAAGGGGGGTGAACGCGGAGTGGTTGGTAGGCAAGCTGCGGTGGGCCACACTTGGCGTGCAGTTCGACTGGAGCAAGGTAAGATGCGCTTATTTTTGCATTCATGCATTCATTCATTCATTCATTCACTCACTCACTCACTCACTCTTGCACCACGCACCACACATGCTCTAGTCTCTCGTCACTGCTCTTGCCGGCGCTTCCTGTCTTGTTATGCATGACTCCATGTGTCACTCCATGCACGACTCCATGTGTCACTCCATGCATGACTCCATGTGTCACTCCATGCATGACTCCATGTGTCACCATGCATGACTCCATGTGTCACTCCATGCATGACCCTTTCATAGCCTCGTTGCTTCGTTGCCTCAATCCTCGTGCCTGCCTACAGCTTACAGCTATATGCACTGGAAGTATCACCGCACTGCACACCTTGCACATGCCCCTCCTCTCTCTCACTCCTAGTGGCATTTCTGCATGGCGTGCCTATTCTCTCCTCTCTCCTTGCGTCATCTCCCCTCTCCCTCCTCCTTCCTTATACCATAACCATCCTCTGCTTGCTTACCATAAACCATTCTCCACCATTCCTCACCCCCGTCCCTCGCACCGTCTCCCTTCCACAGCGCGCCTATGACCCCTCGCTGCCCTTCCGCCCCTTCCCAACCTTCCTCGCGCACCTCGCCTCACGCCTGGCGGCACCTGCCATGCCCTCTGCGCATGCCACCTTCTCCCCTGAAGCCGCCATCGTCAACTTCTACCATCCAGGTCTGCCTCCCTCTTCCCCCTGCCTCTGTGCCGCCCTTGCTTGCCCAGAGTTAGGACTGTGGGTGGAAATACATATGGGGGTGCGGGTGGGTGGGAGTGTGAGTGGGAATGCCGAATGACGATAAACGATTCTTTACATGGATAGCACGAGTGGTGCTGGTGTGGTAGTGGTGCTGGTGTGGTAGTGGTGCTGGTGTGGTAGTGGTGCTGGTGTGGTAGTGGTGCTGGTGTGGTAGTGGTGCTGGTGTGGTAGTGGTGCTGGTGTGGTAGTGGTGCTGGTGTGGTAGTGGTGCTGGTGTGGTAGTGGTGCTGGTGTGGTAGTGGTGCTGGTGTGGTAGTGGTGCTGGTGTGGTAGTGGTGCTGGTGTGGTAGTGGTGCTGGTGTGGTAGTGGTGCTGGTGTGGTAGTGGTGCTGGTGTGGTAGTGGTGCTGGTGTGGTAGTGGTGTTAGTGGTGCTGGTGTGGTAGTGGTGCTGGTGTGGTAGTGGTGCTGGTGTGGTAGTGGTGCTGGTGTGGTAGTGGTGCTGGTGTGGTAGTGGTGCTGGTGTGGTAGTGGTGCTGGTGTGGTAGTGGTGCTGGTGTGGTAGTGGTGCTGGTGTGGTAGTGGTGCTGGTGTGGTAGTGGTGCTGGTGTGGTAGTGGTGCTGGTGTGGTAGTGGTGCTGGTGTGGTAGTGGTGCTGGTGTGGTAGTGGTGCTGGTGTGGTAGTGGTGCTGGTGTGGTAGTGGTGCTGGTGTGGTAGTGGTGCTGGTGTGGTAGTGGTGCTGGTGTGGTAGTGGTGCTGGTGTGGTAGTGGTGCTGGTGTGGTAGTGGTGCTGGTGTGGTAGTGGTGCTGGTGTGGTAGTGGTGCTGGTGTGGTAGTGGTGCTGGTGTGGTAGTGGTGCTGGTGTGGTAGTGGTGCTGGTGTGGTAGTGGTGCTGGTGTGGTAGTGGTGCTGGTGTGGTAGTGGTGCTGGTGTGGTAGTGGTGCCTGGGCTACACGCTCTCTGCTGTGTGTGCTCTCCCTTGCAGCAAGTGTGCACCTTGTCTTGCCCGCTTGCTCCGTGCATCCATTCACACCCACCTCTCTGTTACACTAGACATTGTCGACTGCCTGTCCCACCATCCCTCCCCTCCCCCCCTCACTCCCCTCTCTCCCCTCCCTCCCCTCCCTCCCCTCCCCTCCCCTCCCCTCCCCTCCCCCCCCCTTCCCTCCCTCCCCTCCCCTCCCCTCCCCTCCCCTCCCCTCCACTCCCCTGCCGTCCCCTCCCCTGCCCTGCCCTCCCCTCCCCTCCCTTCCCCTGCACGGCGCGCCTGTCCCCGGGGTGCATGCGGGCATGGGAGCACCAGGGGACATGCTGGGCGGGCATGTGGACGACATGGAGGCGGACTGGACCAAGCCCATCGTCAGCATCAGGTGGGCAGGGCACCAAGGGGGCAGTATTTCACCGCATCTCGCCTGCTGCACCTTCTGAGGTTATTCCCTCTGTCACCTCTATCGCCTCTTTCATGCCCCGTTCCACGTCCATATCCCCCCCCTCCCCTCCCGTTTACTTCTAAGCGTGCTTCTTTCCCGCCCATTCCCTTCTGTCCGCATGTGCTGTGTGGCCCTGCACACCACACTCTCGGGTGCAGGGCGGTGTTCCTTCTGGGGGGTGTTTAAGACGCCTCAAAAGTCTCTCAAAAGTCTTCCCGTGCCCCCCTCTCCCGTCCCGTTTCCTCCTCTCCCTTCCCGTTTCCCCCTCCTGCCCCCCCCGGCCCGTTCCCCCCTCTCCACCTGAGTGCTGTGCTGTGCATCCCTCGGGCGCACCACGGCAGTCTGGGGAGCAAGGCGGTGTTTCTGCTGGGGGGGCGCACGCGCGACGAGGCACCCATGGCGGTGGTGGTGCGCAGTGGCGATGTGCTGCTCATGGCGGGGCCCTGCCGGGAGTGCTTCCATGGTGCGTGCATGTGGGTGGGGGTGGGGGTGGGGGTGGGGGTGGGCGGAGCGGGTGGGGTTGGGTGTGATAATGTGTGTGTGTGTGTGTGGTTTTAAGTGTGTATGCGTGCATACACACGGGATAGAGGGAGGGAATTTACCTGCACCATTGGCCTGAGTTAACCTTTTGACTGTTGGGCCGTGCACGCATTTTTTTCTCTCGCTCCCCCCTTCCCCCTCCCCCCTCCCTTTCACCTTTCCCCTTCCCTCCCATCCTCCCATCTCCACTCTGCCTCCCTCCCCTTTCTCCCCCACGCCCCTTCCTATCCCCTCCAACCGTCCCCATGTCCATCTCCTGCCCTCTCCCCCCTTCCCTCCCTCCCACGAGTGCCTCGCATCTGGTATTCGGAGTCCCGAGCCTGAGGAGGCAGACACCCCTCCTCAGCTCTTTTGAGGCGCCTCAAAAGCCCCCCATATCCATCCCCCATCCTGCCCCCTCCCGCCCGCTCCCCACCAGGAGTCCCGCGCATCCATTCCGACCCCCACGAGGCAGACATCCCTTTTGAGGCGCCTGGAAAGACCCCCCTGCCCGTCTCCTCTCCCCCCCCCCCCTCCTCTCCCTCCCAGGAATCCCCCGCATCTATTCCGACCCGCATGAGGCAGACATTCCTGCTGAGCTTTGTTGAGGTCCCTCAAAAGCCCACCACATCCAACCACTGTCATCCCCTCCCTCCCTCCCAGGAATCCCGCGTATCTATTCTGACCCGCATGAGGCGGACATCCCTGCTGAGCTCCTCGCTCCGCTCTCTGCTGGGGGTCTGCTCCCTGCTCCCATGCGCGCACTGCTGCCCACTCTGCGAATCAACATCAATGTGCGCCAGGTGTACTGACATGCACACCCACAAATGGTGTGCGGTACTTTCTTGCCTTACATATAAATAGCTTTGGTTGCGGTACCATGTCGCTGCGACTCCTGGTCCAAGCCAAGTCAATATTGGGAGGTGTGAGTCACTGCAGAGGTCCATTTGAATTGAAAGACACTGGTCTGGGCTGGACTATTCAATTTGGTGTGTACTGTGTACTGTATTGATCACAATGGGGTGGGCACCGGGCAGGGCAATGATCACCCCGTTGACTCTTTCCAGCAAAATTGTGATTGCCATGCAGTGGAGCCACCACTGCCACAACAAGCCAAGTCAGAAAGAACATTCAGGCAGAAACTTAGAAATATGGAAATCACTCATCACAAATCTCAAATGTGAATTCCACGTACGTACGGTAACTCAGAAAATAACATTCAGGCAGAAACTCTGATCTGATTCTCCTCGAATCAAAATGGCGGTTTGGCACTCCCTCGGGGATCCAACGGACAGCTCTGTTAGTGAAGCCAGGGGTGCAAGCAAGCACGCACACCACAGCTGCCTTTGCAATGGCACACACACCCGCTGTCAGCCACTTCTGTGCCACTACTGCCTCTGCTGTCATGTTACCTACCCACTGCTTGGCAGCACTGCCAGTGCCCTGTGCCCGTGTGACAGCGGACGGAAGGTGCAGTGCAGTGCAACTTGTGGTGGCCCACCCACTGCCCTGGAGGCTGCGAGACTGGCTATGGTGGGTGGACGGGCCATGAGGCAGCGGCACCTATTTGGTGCTGCCGGGGGTGTGGGCAAGATGAGGTAGGGATGGGCGTGGGCATGCATGTTAGCATGTGTGGGGACATGGGTACCGTACAAGCGTTGACCATATGCGGAACGCATGGGCTCGATGATGGGTGTAATGATGGGCGTGATGATGGCATGGCAATGGCGTGGCAGTGGGCATGGTAATGACATGTACATCTGCACCAACATTGCATTGCGCTAACCCCATGCTGCCCCATGCTGTCCCATGCTGCCCCATGCTGCCCCATGCTGCCCCATGCTGCCCCATGCTGCCCCATGCTGCCGCCCGCCCCCCTCCTCTTCCCCACCCATCTGGGGCACGCACGAGAAGAGCAGGTAGCGGTCACCAGGCAGCAGCACGAACGCCTGTGTCTCCCCCACCTCGCACGACTCCCGCCGCCGCGCATCCCGCTTCTCAGCCTGCACGCAGGGAGGAGATGAGGGGAGGAGAGAGACGGAGAGACGGAGAGACGGGAGAGGTGGGGCAAGCGGAGAGATGTGGGAAGGAGGGATCGGGAGAGGGAAGAGATGGGGGAAAGAGAGAGATGGGGGCTTTGGTAAGGTGGAGGGAGGGGAGAGGAGGAAGGAGGGTGGAGATAGAGGGAGGGGGGAGATCAGGGCGGGAAAGAGATGGGAGAGCGGAGTGGTGGCGCTAGCAAGCAAGCAGCCGTGTCGTGCAAGCAAGCAGCCGTGTCGTGCAAGCAAGCAGCCGTGTCGTGCAAGCAAGCAGCCGTGTCGTGCAAGCAAGCAGCCGTGTCGTGCAAGCAAGCAGCCGTGTCGTGCAAGCAAGCAGCCGTGTCGTGCAAGCAAGCAGCCGTGTCGTGCAAGCAAGCAGCCGTGTCGTGCAAGCAAGCAGCCGTGTCGTGCAAGCAAGCAGCCGTGTCGTGCAAGCGTACGGGGAAGGCTAAGGAACAGAGCAGGGGGGCAGCATGTACGTACGGGAGAGGAAGCGAAGCTCCAGCAGTTGACGACAGCCCATGGCACACAGGGGGAGGAGGCGGCACTGTGGTGCTTCAGAGTGGCCCTGCATGCTTGCCGCATGGGAATGAGGGGGTGTTTGGGGACAGGTGGGTTCAACAATGGGGTAGCACGGCAAACGAATGAGAGGAGCGAGGGAGAGAATGGGTGAAAGAATGAAAGACGGGGAGGATAGGAAGGGGAGAGAATGAAAGCAAGGCGGAGAGGGAGGGTGACAGCGGAAGGATCAATGGGAGAGAAATGAAAGGCAGAGTGGGTGGAGGGAGGGAAGGATACCTGGCAGCATCGATGAGCACTAGGACCTGTAGCAGAGGAAACAGGGAGTGGGGATGCGGGAGGGAGAGAAAAGAAGAAAGAGAAAGGGAGGGAGAGAAAGGGAGTGAGAGAAAGGGAGCGAGAGCAAGGGGGTGAGAGAAAAGGAGGGAGAGAAAGGGAGGAAGAGAGAGCGCAGGGAGCAAGAGTAAACGAATGACAAGCGAGTTCAACCCAAGGCAACTAGGAAAGGAGTGACGGCACACAATTTCCCCTAGATGGTACAACAACGAGGTGAAAGGAGTGGCAAGGCGCTGAGGCACACTTGTGAGCTGTTGATTGGCCCACACACTCGCAGCGAGTGAACCGAACCACTGGCTGCTGATGTCATGGGAGGGGTGGCTGATGTGGTGTGCGAGGGTATGTTGCCCAGGGCAGTGTTGAGCCTGCGCGCACACTCGTTCCTGTGATGTCAATAGGTTTGTGCGCGTGGATGCATGGGTGGGTGGTGAGTGAGTGAGTGAGTGAGAGAGTGAGACAGAGTGCGTGTGAGTGAGAGTGAGTGTGTGTGTGTGGGCAGAGAGGAAGGCGGCTACAGGAAACCACTGTTTGCGCAGCAAGAAATGTTCTCATCCTGCTGTTTGCACCGTTGCTAGTGCTGCTGCTAGCAACAACTGATTGCTGACCGGCCAGCCATCCCATCGCATGCCATGCCTCACACACGTTCGCACCCACCATGGCATAGCTCTTTCACTGCATCGCCATGCCATGCCATGCCAGCGTCTTACATGTGTCGTGTCATGCCACAAGAAGCTGCTCCGATCCATTCATGCATCTCCCCCGCTGCTGCCATGCCTGCGCTGCCCGCTCTCCCCTCCCCAACCCCTTCCTCCACTCCATCTGCCCGTGCCTTTCCCACCCCACCCCCTGTTCCCTTGGAATCAGAATGGTATGGGGAGATTGTGTCAACTCCACTCCACTCCATATCCTCTCCTCCCCCTGCCCCTCCTCCTCCTTCTCTTGTTTCCATCTCTCCTGCTCCCTCATTGGCCCCCCCTCTCAAACCGCTTGCTGACGTGGCAATCTCGAAGAGCTTGTCAGCATTCGGCAGGCAGGCAGGGGAGAGGGCTCGGTGGATGGCGGAGAAGGGCACGTGGCGGGCTGTGATTGGCTGAGGGAAGTCAACGGGCTGGGGCACACCGTCTGGAGAAATATGAGGGAGAAGGTATAGTGAAGAAGGGGGAAGGGGGAAGGGGGAAGGGGGAAGGGGGAAGGGGGAAGGGGGAAGGGGGAAGGGGCAAGGTGAGGCGCTGCAGAAAGATGAGCTTTGGGGCGCCTCAAAGATTAAAGCGCTCCGGTGCGGTGCGGTACGGTACGGTCTGTGCAGCTTTGTTTCAGACCGTGAGTACGCATGCACGAACAGGTTCAATCAAGGCACCATGTGGAGAAGATGATACGTTGCATGATACACACCACGATATGGCGCGGGCTTTGTTGTTTGTTCTCTGTGAGAGCCGGTGGTGGCAGGGGTTACGGTGATCATCGCGCAAGACACAGGACAGGGTGGTGTGATGTGGCGCGGTGGTGTGATGTGGCGCGGTGGTGCGATGTGGCGCGGTGGTGTGACGTGGCGCGGTGGTGGGATGTGGTGCGGTGGTGTGGCTGTGCATTACCGCGTGTGAAGAGGCAGAGGTAGTCCAGTGACGCGGGGATGAGCTCACTCACTCGCTCCAGGACCTGTTGTGGACAGAGAAGAGAGTGTGGAGGTGGATGGAACGAATGACTTTTGAGTTCACTCAAAGGAAGAGAGTGTGGAGGTGGATGGAACGAATGCGATGGCAGGCAGGTGGACGGCAGGACGTGATGCAGAGTGAATGTGCAGTTGGCTTGTGCTCACGAGCGTGCTCTCATCTCAGTCGTGGCCTGCTGCTTCTCGCCCCGCACTCATTCCCATGCACCTCCCTGCAAACCGCCCTCCTCCACATCCTCTGTTTCACACCATCTCCCTCCCCTCTCCCCGCTCCACTCGCTCCTTCTACTTCCCCCCTCCACGCCCCACCCACTTATCCTCTCTCATCCATCCCTCACCCACCCCCATCCCCCATCCTGCATCGCCAATCGCGCCATCTCTCTCCCGCACTCCGCATACCCCCATGTGGCCGACGCGCTGACCTTGTCGTGCAGCTTCATGCCAATGCCGGGCTTAAAACCAGGGTCTCACGTAAGAGAAATCATGATCAACTGCAAAACAATTGAAGCTGAGTCACCCTGTTTGAGGTGGCGAAGTCTAGGGGTTGGTTTGACATTTGATTGTGCGACACCTCCCGTTTTTGCCTGTGATGCAATTGCAAAACATTTTGTTGGTACATGGAACTGACAGCATGCTCGAACATTTTTCTGGTGTTCTAGCTTTGGCACCAAACCAGTTTCCGTGCCTAGGTGGTTCGGACACAGACTGCGATTTGTGTTTCCTTCGCTCCCCTCGTCACACCGCTCGTCATTATTTCCACCTCGCCAACCAATCCTAACCAGGGTGAAGTCATCAACTGCAAAACAAATGATATACGTGAGACCCTGGTTTTAAAGAACGGCGCACACAGGTCCACACCACACAGATGACTGCCTAAATCACTCTTGAAAATTTCCAAAAGCAATCCCAATCCGCCATGCGCTGCTCACTGACTGACCTTGTCGTGCAGCTTCTTGCCAGGCTTAAAGGACGGCGCACACAGGTCCACACAGATGACTGCCGCATCGCAGGGGGGAAGGCAGGGAGAGGGGCGAGTGGGAGGGGGAGGATTCTCAAAGGAGAAGAGTTATTATTGGACTAAGGTGATGGGCGTGCACGAGTGCTGCACAGTACTGCTCGCACCGTACGTTCGGATCTCAATAAAAAATTCTCAAGGGTTACTTTCCTCACTAGTTGACTGTCGTCTCTTTGCTGAAGACGACTCTCTACCTCTCTACCAACTGCTGCCCTTCTTCATGAGCATGGATCCTATCCTAAGGTGATGGGCGTGCACGAGTGGCTCACAGTACTGCTCGCCCGGTGCTGCTGCTGACGCCTTGCCTGGCAGCCCCAGGCGTTGAAAGGTGTCCCTGCCCACCGCCATGCGCAGGTGGCCTGTGTGTGCACAGGCGAGAGGGTGGGTGACGGAGAGAGAGTGAGTGAGGGGTTGTGAGTAAGGAGATAGGAGTGGGTGCGTGTGTGTGAGTGCGATGGATAGAGGGGGAGGGAGAGAGATGGGGCGGGGTACGGGTTGGATGGGCAAACACAGGCGGCCGAGGGAAGAGGGCACAGGGGAGCAGCCGCAATACGAGCACTGAGCACGGTGGCAGAGGCATGTGACATGAGGTTCGGTTCGGTTAAGTTAGGTTGGATTAGGTTTGAAAAGGTTAGCGTGTGGAGTGGATTACCCTATGTGGGTTTACGGTGGCCTGCCCAGTGCCTCATGAGTCATGACATGACGCACGCCCAGCATACCAGAGGGGGTGTCGCTGATAACGTCTGCGTTGACTTTTGAGTCGACTCAAAAGTCATGACGCACACACAGCATACCAGAGGGGGTGATGCTGATAACGTCTGCGTGCGGAAGGGCAGAGGCCGCTGCGTTGAGACTCAGCAGGGCGAACTCAGCTGTGGGTGGAGGGGCGAGGGGTCGTGATGAAAGGGGCGTGATGAAAGGGGCGTGATGGAAGGGGCGTGATGGAAGGGGCGTGATGGAAGGGGCGTGATGGAAGGGGCGTGATGGAAGGGGCGTGATGGAAGGGGCGTGATGGAAGGGGCGTGATGGAAGGGGCGTGATGGAAGGGGCGTGATGGAAGGGGCGTGATGGAAGGGGCGTGATGGAAGGGGCGTGATGGAAGGGGCGTGATGGAAGGGGCGTGATGGAAGGGGCGTGATGGAAGGGGCGTGATGGAAGGGGCGTGATGGAAGGGGCGTGATGGAGGGGGGGAAGGAAAGGGGAGAGGAGGCGAAAGGTAGAGGGAAACGGAGGGAGGGACAGGAGGGTAATCAGGAGATGGGGAAGAGGACGGGGGAGGGGAGGATCTTGGAAGGAGTGGGGAAAAGTGGAGGGAGAGGGAGGGGCAGTTGAGAAGTGGAGGGAGAGAACGGTGGGAGGGAAAAGGGGAGCAGAAAAATGGTGTGAGGGAGCAAGACCAGCATGAGGTGTGGCGTGAACTTGGTGGGATGGGGCTGGGAGACGGTGGAGAGGGTTTGAGTGAGGGAGGGCGGAAGGGCAGGGGGGAGGGCGGTGTGTGCAAGGAGGGGCTTCAAAGAACACCCCTTCATGCCCCCAAACTCGTACCATTCCCACTTCCCCGACTCGCCTTCCCAGCTCCCCTTTTTTCTACTCCTCTTTCCCTCAAACCCCTAGCCCTCAAAACCCAACCCCTTTCCCCTTTTCCCCTCCTCCCCCCTCCCCTCCCCCCACCGTTGCGCGCGCGCACGTGCGTGTCCAGGAAAGCGGGCTGCAGCAGCGCGCTGAGCGGCCCGCGGATCATGTGGTAACCCGCAGAGGTGAGTGTGTCCACCGTGGCAGCCAGGGCCGCCACCGCCGCCTGCGGGGAGGGAGAGAGGAGAGAGCCAGGGCCGTGGCAAGAGCGGGAGGGGGTTGAGGAGGGAGGGAGGAGAGGAGGGGAGGAGCGGAGGGGGGGACGGAGAGGCGGGCGGAGAGGCGGACGGAGAGGCGGCAGGGGGTCGGCGGGGTGTGGGGAAGGGGTGGAGAACGTATGGAATGGTCGGGGCATCGGAACTCAAACCGCGCCATTGACTTGTGGGGAGATGCGGAAAGATGAGCGAGGGGCGACGACAGACGCTGCAAGCTGCTTGGCTGCCGTACCTGCGCCGCAGGCTCGGCAGGCGCGGGGAGGGGCAGCAGCAGCTCGAGCGCGCAGCGGAGGGGGAATTCGGAGAGGTCGCGGTGGTGGCGCTGCGCGGGGTGCGCGAAGGACGAGCAGCGCAGCGTGAGCGATGGCACCCACCCCATTACAAGCCGCTTCGATACCGTCGGTTACGGGTTCACACGGCGCTTCCGGCGGGAGCGGAGAAGGTAAGACGGAGGACAACGACGGGGGAATGGGGGTGGCAGGATGAAAGCGAAGACGGAAGACGGCGCGTGGCACAAAGAGAAGAGAAGAGATGCGCAGACCGCGGGCTGCGCCTGAGTGAGGGTGGAGTGCTGAGCTAGTGGTGAGGAGCAGGTTTGAACTGTGGGGGTTGCAGGAGCCACTGAAACAGGTGTCTCAATACTGACAGAAACGACGAGGCATCTTCATTGCCGCAAGCATAAAAGGTACTCTAAATTGCAATAGATTAGCCATGCTATAGTTTTCCAAGTGTTAGATTTGAACATTTATGCATGTGAGATAATCCGTATGTTCCTGTTACGGGTGCAATGAATCGAAGTAGCGAGAATTGCACTAAGGTGTCAAACGAGTACAAAGCTGTGAGCGAAGGCATGAGCGAACATTTATATGCGAAGCATGCAAACGGTAACGCGGTGCGTGCGAGCTAGCCAGTGCTATGCTGGCAGCGAGGCTCGGGCTAGTCCCGAAGCGTAGGCCGACACGGCCGGGCCAGCAGTGCGAGGTTTGGTGAAACAGTGCGCGTGAAGTCGGCGAAGTTCCGTTAGCAGTAACGGGCGAACAACGGCTGTTGCTGTACGCGATGTAGTCGGGCTCCGTAAGGAATGCCGAGAAAATTCCTTACACTACCCCCCCCCCCCCCCCTCAAGAAGCCCCCTCCGCTACGCGAGTGCGTGTATGTCGCGGAATCCCCGGCTCCTCAGGTACACTTGCAGGGCAAGGTGGTTTTCAATGTTGGCCAGGGGCACCCAGCTATCCTCAGTTGGCGTGCGGTCCTTCCAGCGAACGAGGAATTCAATCCTCCTGATTCCCGTGGGGTGTCGAATCCGATGGCTCAGGATTTTTTCGGGCTCGATGATCGGCTCTGATGCAGGGCGAGTCATGGATGGCGGGCGGTGGCGAGGCAATTGGCTTGTGGTTGGGATGTATGGGCGAAGCAAGCTGACGAGGAACGAAGGGCTGATGTACCAGTCGGTCGGTAACAGTAGGTGCGCGGTTACTGGCGTGATCATGTGGCTGATTTGGAATGGGCCACAGTAGCGCGGTCGAAGTTTTGGTACGTCGGGCAGTCGCAGGTTTTGCGTGTCGAGCAGTACGTAATCCCCTGACTGGTAGGTGACGGGTCGGCGGTGGCGGTCGGCGTTGCGCTTAGCGATGACATTTGCTTTTTTAATTGCTTCTGCAGCTCTGGTGCGGGCAGCTTGCAGAATTTCGGCGAATTGTTGTGCACGTGGTGTCGGATTGTCCGGACTCGGCGTCATGGGCACTGTAGGATTTTGCCCGTAGTTCAGGTAGAAGGGGGACTGCTGCGTCGTCGCTGACGTGGCGTTGTTGTACGCGAACTCGATCAGCGGCAGCTGCTGTTCCCAAGTCGTGGGGTCGTCGCACGTGGCACGAATCAACTGCTCCATCGTCTGATTCGTCCGCTCCGTTTGGCCGTCGGTCTCGGACGAACTGAACTGTAGCCTGGTCCCGAACTGCTCCCAGAGGTTTTTCCAGAAGTTGCTGGTAAGCTTCGTGTCCCTGTCGCTGATAATCGCTGCTGGTATCCCGTGCAGGCGAACAACGGCTGCGATGAACAGACGAGCGGTCTCCTCGGCTGAGATCGACTTTTTGCACGCAGCGAAGTGTGCCATCTTCGTCAGCCTGTCAACGACGACCATCACCGCGTCGTTACCCCCAGGGTTCGAAGGTAACCCTGTGACGAAGTCCATGGTAACCTGCTGCCAGGCGCGCTCGGGCGGTGGTATCGGCTGCAATTGACCCGCCTTCCGCTTCCTCGAGCTCTTCATCACCTGACACGTGGGGCACGAGCCCACGTGCTGCTGTACGTCGGTCAACAGCTCCGGCCAGTAATAATACCGCTGCAGTTGCTGTCGCGTTTTTTCTACCCCAAAGTGTCCCGAGGTAATTCCGTCGTGTGCCTCCTGCAGTAGCAGCTCCCTCAGTAGTGAGTACGCAGGTACCCAGATGCGGTTGGTGCCTGTTTTTACGTAATAAACTCCTTTAGCTTCTGCCAGTTGCTGTGAGTTTCCAGTCGTGAAAAATGGGTCGGTGCGGTATCCGTGGGTGAATAGGCCTGTTAACAGCGGGTTGGTCTGGGCGAGTAGGATGGCATGGAGTTGGGCGGTAGGGCGGGTGAGTGCGTCGGCGATGTTGGATGCGCCTTTCTTGTACGTAACCGTGTAGTGGAAGTTGGACTCGAGGTAGTCCAGCCAGCGAATTTGTCGCGGATTGAGATTTGGTTGGGCGCGTAAGTACTGTAGTGATCGGTGGTCTGTCCGTACTGTCACGTCGGCGCCAGTCAGGTAACACCGCCAAACCTTGAACGCGTGCACGATCGCCAACATTTCGCGGTCGTGTATCGGGTAGTTGCGTTCGGGCGGGTGCAGTTTGCGGGACTCGTACGCGATTGGCTGGAGGCCGTTCCCGAAATCCTGCAACAGTACTGCTCCCACAGCGATGTCACTTGCGTCAGTGACGAGCTCGAACGGACGGTGTGGATCGGCGATGTGAAGCACGGGCGGTGAGCACAAAATGTTTTTGAGGGCCGAGAAGGCAGCTTGCTCTTTCTCCCCCCACGTGTACTCAACCCCCTTCCTCAGCAGGTCAGTCAACGGGGCAGTCAGCTTCGCCATGTCGGGGACGAACCGGCGCACGTAGTTGACGAACCCCAGAAAACTCTGCAACTCTGTCAAGTTGGTCGGCGCGTGCCACGCCTGAATCGTCGCAATTTTCTTCGGGTCTATTTCCACTCCTGCGGCTGAAATAACGTGTCCCAAAAACTCCAGACGGTCCTGTAAAAATTCACACTTAGACGCTTTTGTCAGTAGGCGGTTCTCACTCAGTATTTTAAAAACTGCTTCGATGTCCTGTAAGTGCTGTGCTCTGTCAGGGCTGTAAATCAGTATGTCGTCCAGGTATACTATGACGCACTTATCTAAGAGTGGGCGGAAAGCTTCGTTCATGGTCATTTGGAAAGTGGCGGGGGCGTTGGTCAGTCCGAAGGGCATGACGGTGTATTCGAAGGATCCGTAGCGTGTTCGGAATGCGGTTTTAGGGCAGTCGGGCGGATTGACACGAATCTGATGGTAACCCCCCCGGAGGTCGATTTTCGAGAAAACCCAGGCTGTGCGCAGTTGGTCGATCAGTTCGTCGGCTCGTGGGATGGGGTAACGGGATTTGATGGTAACCCTGTTCAGTGCTCTGTAATCGATGCACATGCGAAATCCCCCGTCTTTTTTCGGTGTAAACAGTATCGGTGCTGCGAAAGGCGACGAACTAGGGCGAATGAACTCCTTCTCGAGCAGGTAATCGAGCTGCTTCCTCAGTTCGTCCAGTTCGGGCTGGGTCAGTCGGAACTGTCGCTGTACTGTTGGCTGTGCCCCCGGTTCCAATTCTATTCTGTGATCGTGCGGTCGCTGAGGTGGCAGTCCCGTCGGTAAGTCGTCCGGGAAAATGTCGCTGTACTGCTTCAACAGTGCTGCCAGGTCACTCGGTACGTCGGTCAGCAGTTTCTGCAAATCCCCTCCCTTGTCTGCTGCCTCGGCTTCCCGAATGTCGACCGCGTACACGTCAGCTCCCGCCGCTACGGCGCGTTTCATCGTGATCGCGTTGACACGCACCGACGAAGACTCAGGCGAGCCCCAGCGAGGTAGGGCGATGTGGTTACCGTTCACTCGCACGGTGCAGTCACCCGTCGTCCAGTCGATTCGCGGATTGTGTCGTCGCAACCAATCACGCCCGAGTAAAATATCGGTTCCGTCGAGGGTCGTTGCGAGCATTTCTTGGCTAAATGTGAAGTTACCCCCGCATCGAATCCGAACCCGGTCTACGCGTTCCCGTATTGCCAGCGGCGTGCCGTCTACCAGTCGTGCGTCGATCTCAGGTAAACATCTGTCCAGTGGCAGTCGCAGTTTTCGTGCTGTAGCAGTGTTGATGAGGCTGTGGCTGGCTCCCCCGTCCCGATTTTCCCGATCTTCGTAGTTAAAATCGGGATGTCCCCAGTTGCTGCTACTGCCGTAGGACCCCGGTCTCGGTCGGCGGAAGAAGTCGAGCTTCTCCGCCATAGCGAGAATCTCCTGAAAATCGGTGACGCCGCGAAGCTGAATTTCTTGAGCGATGTCGTGCTTCAGGCCGCCGATGTAGGGGTCGATGCGCTCGCTCTCATGCATGTAGCCCACTTGCTCGCATAGCGCTAGAAACCCGCTGGTGTAGTCCTGGACTGAACCGAGTTGGCGCCAAGTGCGGAGCTTCTGTCGCGCCGCGATCGAAGCCGCAATTGGCTCAAATCGAGCGCGCAGACCTGCGCACCACGCGTCCCACGTGTGATATTGGGGCACCTCCACGAAGTACGACGGCGCCCAGGGTCCGGTTTGTCCTTCCCGTGTCGGTAGAGTCGCGTAGTCATTCGGCTTCGTGACGATGACGCGCCACCAGTCCATGGCGGATCCTCGCAGCAGCGACACGGCGTAGCGAATTTTCGCCGAATCCTCCGAGACGTAGTTGGCGTCGAAAAACACGTTCATCGTGAACAACCACGCCTGAACGGTAGGACCACCCCGTTGACTCGGGTCAAAGCATGGCGGACGCTGCGGCTTCAGCGGCATCGGTGACGGCAGTCCCGAATCGTGGGTCGGTGCCGAAATCGTGACGCGAGGTTGACTTGGGGCCGCATTCGTCGCTCCGGGGTGTGTCGTGCCGTGGTCGTCGTCTCCGTCGGGGCGGACGACGCCATCACTGGCCGCGCTCGCGGGTTGCCCCACACTTCCGTGCTGTGATGTCTGTGGTGCGGGCTGAATCGGAGTGCCAGGTGCTTGGGATTGTGCCCTTGTGAGGTCGTTTTGCAGGGACGAGCGTTCTGCCGTTAGCGTCGCAATTTCCTCGGCGCTCTCGCGGATTTGTCGCAGCAGATCGTTCAAATGCTCCTGCGTGAGAGTCGTGACGTCGATGTGTTCGGCCATTTCGAAGGACGTCGGCTCGTCTTAGTCTAGGCGCAGTCGTGGCTGCACGCGTTTACGAGAGAACGCGAGGACAGCGGCTCCTAGGTGCTAAGGTACGTAAGTCCCTTCGAGTGAAAAATCAAAAGTTGATTTCCTGGGGTGCGGAGATGCGCGGTCCGAAAGAAAGGGGCTCTGATACCAAGTGTTACGGGTGCAATGAATCGAAGTAGCGAGAATTGCACTAAGGTGTCAAACGAGTACAAAGCTGTGAGCGAAGGCATGAGCGAACATTTATATGCGAAGCATGCAAACGGTAACGCGGTGCGTGCGAGCTAGCCAGTGCTATGCTGGCAGCGAGGCTCGGGCTAGTCCCGAAGCGTAGGCCGACACGGCCGGGCCAGCAGTGCGAGGTTTGGTGAAACAGTGCGCGCGAAGTCGGCGAAGTTCCGTTAGCAGTAACGGGCGAACAACGGCTGTTGCTGTACGCGATGTAGTCGGGCTCCGTAAGGAATGCCGAGAAAATTCCTTACAGTTCCACAGAATAATGCGTTGTCGGCCTTCCGTATTTTGGGATGGGCTGGAAAAATACTGAGTTGTAGTACGCAAATGTACGCTGGAAATCAGACAGAAAAAACCACCTAAAATATATACTTATATATAATTCAGAACAATCAGACCTCAGACAAATAAGTCTTACAGGTATGTGTTCCGAAGTAAATCGGGTTCATAAACACGTACAAATGTTTTCCGCTTCCGTAACTTCCAGAGTTGGGAGCTACAAACGGAGACATTTGAGAAGGTTCTTCAGCCACTGGTGCTCCGCCAGGCGCCATGTGGCAAGCGCAGAGCCAGCTTCGCCCGTACAGTCACATTCGAACATTCGTCCACCCCCCTCCCCTCACCCCTGTTATACGCTTAATACCGCTGCAATAAACCACCCCCCAACATTCGCCCTTCCACCATCTCCCCTTCTGCCAACAACACCACCCTTCTCGCCATCCCTTCGATTCCCCGTCTCTTCACCCTCATCCGCGTACGTCGCGCTTGCCCGCCATGGCCAAACGCCTGATCCCGCTTCTGGATCGCGTGCTCGTCGAGAAGATCATTCCGCCCAGCAAGTCCATCGGCGGGGTCCTGCTGCCCGAGTCAGCCACGGCATCGCAGGTGCGCCTCCCGCTCCCCTGGTTACCATCGTTTGTTTGATTTTCCCGCCGAATCCGCCGACGTTGTCGCGATGAGCGGATGGATCGCGATCGCGATGCGAGTTGGTAGTTCGCGTTCGACAACCGCGTGCCGTGAATCTCCATGATCGATCTCCTTCGCATCCCTCATATCTCTTCTGCTCATCCCCATGGCCCTTGTCTCTCCCTTTCTCCGCTGTTCCTCCTCACTCCCCCTCCGCCTTCCGCCTCCCCCTCCCCCTCGCGCGCAGCTGAACACGGGCAAGGTGGTGGCGGTGGGCGCGGGGGGGCGCACTCGGGACGGCACGGTGATCCCGACGGCGGTGAAGGAGGGCGACACGGTGCTGCTGCCAGAGTACGGCGGCAGTCAGATCAAGCTCGACGACAAGGAGTGAGTGCCGCGCCCTGCCGCTGCTGCTGCTGCTGCTGCTGCAAGTTGATCGTGCCGTTCGCGGCGTCGCCGCAGTGCGCTCTATTTGTGACGCTGTATGGGGACACACTTGTGCCCTTGCGTCGTTCCTGCGACGAATCCCGATGAGGTATAGAGCTTGCGGTCTATCTGTGACAGCTCTCCACGCAGCCGTCACCCCAGCGTGCACCGCGTGTGCGGAAAACGTCCTTTTCTTTCCTCTGCTCTGCCCCGTCCTTGATTGGGGCTCGAGGATCGGGGAGATCTAATTGGTGCGGCTCATGCTGCGTGGGAGATCGGCCGCCTGGCTTCTTGCTCTCGTCCTTGGCTTCCTTTGACAGCCTCTGCTTGCTCTATCTCAACTCCCCCTCCGCCGTCCGCCCCCCTTCCCCCCGTTTCCCCCCTTTTATAACCCTCGAAGACCTTTCTCAAACACTTTTTTACTCTCCCTCCTTCCATTCCTCCCTCCCTCCTCCCTCCTTCCCTCCTCTCCCTCTCGTCCTGCTTTTCTAGGAACTTGTTTGCCTTGACATACATAGCCTCCCCTCTCCCCCCCCCTCCCTCCCCTCCCTCCCCTCCCTTCCCTCCACCCCCTCTCCACCCCCGGGTTCGTGTTCTCTCCTCCCTTGCTCCCTCTGTCCCCTGCTCTCTCCCCTCCCCCCCCCCCCCCCTCCCCCTTTCATGCGGCCACAATCCAGGTATGTGCTATTCCGTGACGATGACATCCTGGGAGTGCTCAAGGACTAGCCGCCCACCTTCCTACCTCTTACTTATACGCACCGCCCGCCTCATTCCACGGGCCTTCCTGCTCTTGTTTCGCCAGCCGCGAGAGGTCCATGTTACGGTAGGTCACAGCAGATGGCGTGCCTGCTGCACTTGCCAGCACAACGTGCGCTGTGCTGGTCGTAGGGACGTTTAGAGGCTGTCATGTGCCGTGGGGGCATAGTTAGAAGATGCTGTTGATTCAAAACAGCATCTGGGGCAGTTGCGTGGTGGTGTCTGGCAGGGCGGGAATGGTGTGCTACAGACAATGGGTAGAGCGCCGTTTCTGGTGCTGCTTATGTCTGGAAAGTTGGTAGGTTTTCTCACACATAGCATTTGTATTTTCTAGTGTTATTGTTAGGGAGTGGGGCTGAGGTTACGGACAATCTCCAATGGTCTTGACCTAGCCTGGTGTTTCAAATATAGGCAGTCTGAAATTGCCCTTGACGATGTCTTTCAGCCAGAAATGTGCACGAAACATTGACACATGGATTCTAGTTTCGAAGACCATGAAAAATACCGAATAAGTAATTCTGTTGGAAACAAAGAGTGATGGTCCACTTGTGACAAGCCTACCTTACATCCGTTGAGACATTTGGCAGCCAATATACATAATTTAATTCACCTAATGAACCTAGTATATAGTACAAGATCCACACAGCTACGGTATCTGACACAGACTCGAGTAGCCATTGGAGATGTTTCTGTTCTGTTTTTCCACAGATACCGTAAATATCTCCCTTGTACCGCACTTGCTTCTGTGGCGCCAGCCAGGCCCTCAGAAGTCAGCGAAAAAAAGGCTGATTTAGGGTCTGGACGCTGATTTCACAGACATGTGGGCGATGTGTTGGCTGAAAGTTCAGTTTTTTTTTTTTAATGTGTTGGCTGAAAGTTCAGGTTTTTTTTTAATGTTTTGGCTGATTATCCGGCGTTTTTTTACAAGTGTTCGCTGATTGATCAGACTTGTACCTAACTAGAGTGTAGGCTGAATTCACGCTATTACAGATTCGTGCAGGAGCCGTGCGTTTCGGCTGTCCAGGTTCACCCACCGTCAATCACGCAAAATTTGCCATGTACAGCGCCGACGCGGGGGGAAAACGAATTTCCCCGACTCGTCGGTTGCTTCGTTGTCACCGACAGAATGCTTTAATAGATGTGATTGGTTGTTAAACCAATCACATCCCTTATGCGCCAATCACCCACCACCAGTGCAGCACAGCAACGCACCGCACGCACTCACGACAAGGACACCCACCTCACCCCATCTCACCCACCCCGAACCTGCATCTAGGTGCGTGCATGGTGCCCCCACGTCGCGCCGCGTTGCTGTTGGGTGGTGAGAACGAGAGGGCCTTCTTTTTTGGATCTCTCTTGATGACCCCACCATACCCACCCCCCAGGCGAGCTGCACTGTCAACCACGCCTCTCGCCCTGGTTTTCTCAAACCCTAGCTAGCAACGTTGGAGCTCGACACGCTCTCCCCTTTCAGCCATGGCCGGCCTTGCAGAAGGCCTAGCTTGCGATGATGATGCAGGCATGGATAGCTCAGATGATGAATTAGACGGCCTAGAGGAAGCCAGGACGGGGCTTGATATGCTCCTGCGCTCGCTTGCCCCTGGTGTCCTCGCTCCCAGGCCTCCTACTGCAAAGCCTCCACTAGTCGAGAGGGTGCACCGCGACCACCCACCGGTTTCTTCAAGCCCGGATTCCATCCGGAGTGAGCCTGCTACGCCGGCTGCCGTCTCCGACACGGTGGTTGTCGATTCGCCAACAACAAAGTCCACTGCCCCGCGCAACTTCAAGCTCAAGCAGTCGACGCTGAGCTGGGCAAAACCTTCTTCGAGCACCGCCGTCGAGCAACCTGTCGTGAACAACACAGCCCCTCTTCCATCCTTGGTCATAGACATTTCAGAGGCCATCGAGGCAGTCTATGCAGACGCTCTTTTGAAGTACAAAACCAAGTGGTCTGAGAGGTTCCCGTGGCTTGTGCTAACCAAATCTAAATCTGGTTTCCCTGCTTTTAAGTACAGTGTCTGCACCAAGCATGACGGAGTCAGGGGACGATGTGGCCGGACAGGGCGAGGGGCGACCGACGTGCAGACGCAGGCGTTTCGCAAGCACGCCGGCACGACGAAACACAGGCTGGCGATGGAGAAGCAAGAGGCTCTGCTGAACGCGGCCTCAAAGCAGCCACGGATCGACCAACATCGAGCCGCCGTCGATGCTGAGAAGAACCGCGTCGTGGCGTTGCTCGACTCCATGCTGTTCGTCAGTTCCTGCGATGCGCCAATGGGAACATGGGTGAAGCTGGTGCAGTACCTCGCGCGTAAGGGTGTCCAGGGCTTCCCTAAGAAGGGATATGGCACCTACTACACATCGTGAGTAGTAGTCACAGTTGTATAGCGTCGGTGTTTTGATGTTCAACCCTAAACCCTCTTCTAATCTCTTGTCTTTGGTTTCCCTGCGTGTAGGTACGGCTTCGGTGAGCTCACGCAGGCCCTTGCTACCTGGCTACAGACAACTCAGCTGGAGCACATCCTGACAAGCCCTTTCATCGGCATCTGCATCGATGAAAGCACGGATCAACTCCGGGGGAAGCACATGATCTTGTACGCCTCGTTCATCCGCGACAACGTGCTCGTGACCGAGTTCATGCAGCTTATCACGGTGGAAAAGGCGGACGCTTCTTCACTTCTGAGCATCCTGCTTTCCCACTTGCAGTCCGTCGGTGTCGATCTTCAGAGAATTTCTGGCATTAGCACCGACGGCGCAAGATTGATGATGGGGTCTAAGGCCGGCCTGGTTGTCTGCCTGCGACAGAAAATTCTGCACCTTGTCTCCGTTCACTGCATCGCTCACAGGTTAGTGAGCTCTGCTGCTACGTTTTCAGCCCGTTACGCCATGTGGTTTGAGCTCGTGTTTAACTTCCTGAGTTTGATGTTCCCCTTGCAGGGAGGCACTTGCAGCGAAGGATGCAGCAGAGGAGCTCCCCGTCTTTGACATGGTCAACGATCTCATCCGGGCAGTGGCGGATTTGCTTGGTCGGTCGGGACCGCGCCACGCACGGTTCATGGACCTGCAGGAAGTCATCACCGAAACGAGCCTTGAAGTGCAAGGCATCCATTCCGTTCGGTGGTTGTCAAGGGGGGATGCCGTTCGTCGCCTTGTCGCTGTTTTGCCGGCAGTGATTGTGCTGCTAAGGAGCTTAACAACAAGATGTACAAACTGGCAAGCTCCTACCGTTTTCACTTTTTCCTTTACTTCCTGGCTAATGTGCTTGAGCAGCTCAACATTTTGAACAAGACCTTCCAGCAGAAACAGGTGAGGTGGTGCAAATATAGCTACGCATGTCCCCACATTAACCCTTCTAACTGTGTCACTGTGTGCCTCTGTCTGTCCAGCTCGATCTGGTGTCTTTGCATGCGCAGATCAAGCGGACAACGCGTCACATCGAGAGCCGCTACGTGGACTGCGGCGATGACTTCGGCGGCGGCATGAGCCAGTGGCTGTCACCTTTCCTGCTGCGCCATGGCCCGGGGTGTAGCCGCGAAGTGAAGGTGGAAGGTGTCGACAGCGACGGCCGACCATCTTCTATCACGTTCACCCTTCACGACGAGCCCGTGGACTCGTACAGCGACCCGGAGGACCACGACGGGTGCATCCAGTTGTGCACCGAGTTCGCAGAGAGGATCGTGGCGAACCTGGAGGGAAGGCTCGGCGATCTCGACTCGCTCTCTGGAGTCTGCCTGTTCACACCAGATGCATGGCCACAAAGCAAGTCTGAGCGGAACGCTCGTTGCCAGGAGTGGCTTCAGTCGCTGGTGACGATGTTCAAGGCTCAGGACCGTGAGGAAATCTTGCCAGGTTCGTTGTGGCGCCTTTGTGAACCTATGATATCATATCCATGCTTGAAAATCCTTTGTGGTGCACCTGTTTGCTCATGTCATGTGCCTCATCTTAACCCTCCCTCCCTCCCTTCCACCAAGCATCAACAAGAGGCAGGCAGGCAAGGAGCTTCGCCTCTTTTGTTCAGTCCTTCCACGAGCCCCCAAGGAAGATAGGAGCTTCCACAGCGGACTAGCGGCGATCCTCAAGTCGCCAGACTGGCGGGAGAGCTACCCCAATCTGGTGCAGCTCTGGGTGGCGGTGGCTGTGATTCCCCTCAGCACTGTGGAGTGCGAAAGGGGATTCACTCGGCAAAACGTGATTAAGACATGGCGGAGAGGGGGGATCAAGGACGCGAGGCTGGGGGACCTCATGTGTCTGTCCCTCATGCAGTACGAGCCCAACTACGATGAGGTAGTTGAGATCTGGCGGAGTTACAGAAAGCGCAAGCCTTTCAGCAATGCTCCCATTTGCACCCCAATCCCAGGCGAGAACAAGAAGGGCAAGCACGAGGAGGAGCCAGTAGATGTAGATGATGAGGAGGAGCCAGTAGAAGATGCAGGAGGTTGTTCTAGTGATGAAGATGAAATGAGCAGCTAGCTAATGTCATGTATGTAGTGTAGTGTAGTGCTTCCCTGTTAGGCCTGCTAAATTTAATGAACAAAGTGCTCAACATGGATCAGGCAGAGTGTATTAAGTGAGGCTGATTAGTCAGCGATTTTTTTTTATACTTGTCTGAACTTTCAGTTTTTTTTTTACAACCAACTCTGATTGATCAGCTTAACGTAGGCTGCTAAGGCTGACGTATCAGCCAAGCCAAAAACGAATCTGAGGCCCTGGCGCCAGCAGAATCAAAGCCTTGAAGGAGGTCTTGCTCAGGGCTCTTGCTAGGATTTGGGCCTGTCTGGAAACACCTAAGTAAAAAATTCGTTTCGTCTGACGATCAGACAGGCATATTTTTCTGGTCTGTTTTTTCAGACTATTTAATTGGCTTAGTCTGATTCACCTGACACCCTTGTCTAGCATAATCACACATGTTTTTGTTAATGAATGCGCCCCTGGCCCGGCGCTGACAGGCGTGTGTCAAGATAGTAGGCACA